CAGGATTGTATATAGGCAATTCATTTTGTACCAGTCTTAGATTATTTTGCTTATATTCAGGCTTTAGAGGATGCCTTCTTGGCTATTGATGCCAAACTGACCACTGAGGAAGTCATTAAAGAGCTGGCACAGATTGCAGGGCGACCCACTGAGGATGAAGATGAAAAAGAAAAAGTAGCTGATGAAGATGATGGTGAGTGTGCCATCCGTTGTTTCAGAGGATGTCAGTATTTTAAGAAATATTCTTTAATACTACTTATTTATCAGTTCTAAGATAGGATGGCCTTCTAGGGACCTGGGGAGTCCTTATGTTAAAGAAACCAATAGTGTTCTCCTGCATTGTATGTGGTTATGAAAAGGAGGGAGAGAATTATTTTTATTGAGTGGTATCTTAGTTGTAAGCATTTTATATACATTATCTTTGGGGTCTTCCTGGTTCCTGCTGGTATTTCTGTGCTTTTTTTTTTTTTTCCCTCAAGACTGGAACAGTTATTAGCCCCAGTAGCCAGTCATTAAGCCTAACTCCTAATTCTATAATACCATTTTGGGTTTCCTGGATCCTCAGCCAGAATAGGGCTTTCACAACTTAACAATAACAAATAAGATGTGAGAGGGGAAATATAGTAACTAGTGTTGCTTTGATTTAGAAGATGAAACTCAAAAACCAAAAGAAGTCTGTGGAGGAGGAGGAGCTAGGGGATATTCTTCTGAGACTTGATAAGTGAGAGGAACCTTAGGAGTGGGAGGTTGTAGGGAAGTCAGAACTCAGGCTGTCGAGGTAGTGAGAGGGACTGATCCCATGAGGCATCTGGCATGGGGACTCTGATTTAGCCTCTTTCCTGCAGTGGACAATGAGGAGGCTGCACTGCTGCATGAAGAGGCTACCATGACTATTGAAGAGCTGCTGACACGCTACGGGCAGAACTGTCACAAGGGTCCTCTCCACAGCAAATCTGGAGCTGGGACAGGCGAGGAACCAGGGTCCCAGGGTCTCAATGGGGAGGCAGGACCTGAGGACTCAACTAGGGAAACTCCTTTACAGGAAAATGGCCCCACAGTCAAGGTCTACACAGGCTTTTCCTCCAACTCGGAACGTGGGACTGAGGCAGGCCAAGTTGGTGAGCCTGGCATTCCCACTGGTGAGGCTGGGCCTTCCTGCTCTTCAGCCTCTGACAAGCTGCCTCGAGTTGCTAAGTCCAAGTTCTTTGAGGACAGTGAGGATGAGTCAGATGAGGCGGAGGAGGAAGAGGAAGACAGTGAGGTAAGGGCCTGTGAGGGCAGGCAGATGCTGAAGTAGCAGAGAGGTCCTGTTTGGTTGCCATCTGCAGTTTTCAACTCTTCCCCAAGACCCACTATATTCTAAGCTTTAGCCTTGAATTCACTGAGCTCCATCATTACAGATACCATTTGCCTTCTTACCTCTTCCTTTGTTGATACTGTAACAAACAGATCTAGTTCTGGCTTTTGTCTGTCTCCTAGAGAGAGAACAAGAAGATAGTTGTTATCTTGGCTAGTTTTCTTCTCTGGACAATTTATTTTCTGGCCACCGTGCCTGAAAGATACTTTTGGCTGGCAGCCCTTGCATTGTCCTGAGCTTTTTGCTAGCGATGACTGCTAAGCTCAGTTCAGGACGTCAGTTACACTCATGCTAGCCCTTTCCATCCCCCTAGTTTTCATGACCATATACTTGTATCTTTTGGTGTTTTGAGGACCTGTGTTGAGTCAGGGCCTCTTGATTCTGAGTGTATGCTGGGCGGGAGGGAGAGGATCATCCCAGTCTCAGCAGTCTGGGATCCTCCCTCCGGCAGGAATGCAGTGAGGAAGAGGATGGCTATAGCAGTGAGGAGGCAGAGAATGAGGAAGATGAGGATGACACCGAGGAGGCTGAAGAGGATGATGATGAAGAAGAAGAGATGATGGTACCAGGGATGGAAGGCAAAGAGGAGGTGTGTGGGGAAGGGGAGCAGTGAGTATTAAAAAGCCACAAGGCAGGTGTTAAACCCCAGATTTTTATTTTGAGACAGGGGATCCCCTGACACTTTAGGTTGGAAATCATAGTCATGGGGATTTATTCTGCAAGGGAAACAAGGTGGTAAGCCTTTGGGGTCAAATTATCTAAAAACGAGGGAGCGGGAATGTGCTGTTGTCTCTAAAAAGATGAAATCTGCCCAGTGCAGTGGTTCATGCCTATAATCCCGGCACTTTGGAGGCTAAGATGAGTGGATCATCTGAGGTCAGGAGTTCAAGACCGGCCTGGCCAACATGGGAAAACCCTGTCTCTAATAAAAAATACAAAAGTTAGCCATGCATGGTGGCAGGTGCCTGTAATCCCAGCTACTCGGGAGGCTGAGGCAGGAGAAACCACATGAACCCAGGAGATGGAAGTTTCAGTGAGCTGAGATCGCACCACTGCATTCTGGCCTGGGTGATAAGAGCAAAACTCTGTCTAAAAAAAAAGAGATGAAATCTGTGCTTCTCCTGTTTGTTAAAGCTCTCTTGGGGGTCCCAGTGAAAGCAAGCATAGGTGAATGGTCAGGAGCACATCAGTGAGGAACTCATGTTCAGAAGCTCCCGTGATGCTCCCTTTCTTCCTTTTAAGCCCGGCTCTGACAGTGGTACGACAGCTGTGGTGGCCCTGATACGAGGGAAGCAGTTGATTGTAGCCAACGCAGGAGACTCTCGTTGTGTGGTATCTGAGGCCGGCAAAGCTTTAGACATGTCCTATGATCACAAACCAGAGGATGAAGTAGAACTAGCACGCATCAAGAATGCTGGTGGCAAGGTCACCATGGATGGGCGAGTCAACGGGGGCCTCAACCTCTCCAGAGCCATTGGTAAGGGCCAAGAAATTCTGTCCCAGACTACCTAGTAGCAAACTTTAATATTCCTAGCACTTGTGCCTTTCAAAACACTTTAATATCTACCTCTGTTCTTATGTTCCTGTGAAATAGCTAAGATGGGTATAGGTATCATTATACCTATCTTAGGTAATGGTTGAATGGTGAAAAAGACTGGTGAGTGACTCTTAAGGTTCAGCAGTCTGGTGGCAGGGCTGAAACTAGAAAAACTAGTCCTCAGTTTTCCATTCCACTAGATTATGGAACTTTGTAAAGAAGAGAAATGAATGGCAAGGTTTGACCTGCCACAAACACAAGTCTGTGGGAAGCATCCAAACTGTTTATCAACCAACCATTCCTTTACTCCAGGGGACCACTTCTATAAGAGAAACAAGAACCTGCCACCTGAGGAACAGATGATTTCAGCCCTTCCTGACATCAAGGTGCTGACTCTCACTGATGACCACGAATTCATGGTCATTGCCTGTGATGGCATCTGGTGAGCACTGGCAGAATGCCCTAAATTCCCCTTTCTGCAGCATTTCTTCTCTTATAGGGCTCAGGTCATCTCTAGCATTAAAGCCTAGGCAGACCTAGACCTCTTGTGAGTCAAGAGCACCCAAACTAATGCAGAGCTGAGAGTTTCTGTAGGTATTTAAACTGGCCTGGGCCACCACCTCTATCCATACTCCTCTACTCTGCCTTGGTGAGATTAGAAGATTCTGACTGTTGTTCTCAACCCCAGGAATGTGATGAGCAGCCAGGAAGTTGTAGACTTCATTCAATCAAAGATCAGCCAGCGTGATGAAAATGGGGAGCTTCGGTTATTGTCATCTATTGTGGAAGAGGTGAGTACCAGGGTGGAGAAGAGAGGGTATCTGGTCTGCACAGCTAGGGTTTACTATTTTCATCTGAGCTAAGTTGGCAATCTGGGAGCGTACCGTTAATTGCTGACAGATGCTGAACCCCGACTACAAAGTTCCACCTTCTCTCATTTCTCTGACTTAGCCTTATGCCTTACCGACTAGCAAGTGGGCTTTTTTGTGACACTTTTTGCCCATTCCTCTCCTTCTACTACCCTGACTCAGCATGCCAGCCCTCTTGTGGGACTCCAGGTTCCCAGAAAGGTGTTCAAACCCTGTGGCTGAGCTATCCCCATCCCTTTTGTAGCTGCTGGATCAGTGCCTGGCACCAGACACTTCTGGGGATGGTACAGGGTGTGACAACATGACCTGCATCATCATTTGCTTCAAGCCCCGAAACACAGCAGAGCTCCAACCAGAGAGTGGCAAGCGGAAACTAGAGGAGGTGCTTTCTACTGAGGGGGCTGAAGAAAACGGCAACAGTGACAAGAAGAAGAAGGCCAAGCGGGACTAGCAGTCATCCAGACCCCTGCCCACTTAGACTGTTTTCTGAGCCCTCCGGACCTGAGACTGAGTTTTGTCTTTTTCCTTTAGCCTTAGCAGTGGGTATGAGGTGTGCAGGGGGAGCTGGGTGGCTTCACTCCACCCATTCCAAAGAGGGCTCCCCCACCACGCAGCAGCCGGGAGCCTCTGCTGTCCTCCCCAGCCTCCTCTTTGCTCCTCGGGCTCATCACCGGTTCTGTGCCTGTACTCTGTTGTGTTGGAGGGAAGGACTGGCGGTTCTGGTTTTTACTCTGTGAACACTTTATTTAAGGACATTCTTTTTTATTGGCGGCTCCATGGCCCTCAGCCGCTTACACCCGCTCTCTGTTGTACACTTTCAATCAACACTTTTTCAGACTAAAGGCCAAAATCTAATCGTGTGCATCGTGTCCTTTTTTTTTTCTGCTGCCGTGGCCCTAGATTTGGCCCCATCCGTAGCATCTGGAGAGTCCCGTGTGCGTGTGCCCGTGTGTGTCCCGCGCGTGTGTAAGCCAGCCCCGAGCGAGCTGCTGCCGTCCGACCTGGCGGGCGTCAAGACTGCTCCTCGCTCCCTCCTGGAGCCAGAAATGATCTAGTTCCCCTAGGAAGGGGTCGGGACTGGTTTGCCGGGCCTGAAGCCTGGAGTCCGGCCGGGCACCGGCTCCTAATAACTGCTGATTGGCTCGCTCGCCGCCTCGTCACAATCACTTCCCGGTCACGCCTTGGAGGCTCCCGCCGCAGCCGATTCTCACGGACTACGAGTCCCGTGCGGCTCTGCGGCGGCGGAAGCGGAAGCGAGTACGGAGGTACCAGCTGGTCTCCGTAGGGGGGGTAGGGGGCTCCATGAATGGAAGCGGCGGCGGCGGCGGGAGCGGCCTGAGCTGGGCGCCGGGGCCAGGGCCGAGGGCTGCCCAAGGGCCCGCGCCGCTGCATGGGGGCGGCCCGCGGTCCCTGAGAGGAAGGGCGGACAGGCGGGCTGAGATAGGAGGGGCGGGGTCGGGCGGCCGCAGGCCGGAGGCGCGTCGGGCTGGAGCCGGTCACGATGCCCCGAAGGAAGCAAAGCCACCCGCAGCCCGTGAAGTGCGAGGGGGTCAAAGGTCAGGGGTCAGGGGCCTTGAGGGGAGAGGAGCGTGGGTGGGGGTCAGTGGAGTGGGCTCAGGTCATGGTGGAGGGCGATTCTTGAGGGATGAGGTGGGCGATCCAGATTCCTAGCTTCCCACCGAGGCAAGGGAATCAGAGTGGGTCAGTGAGTACGGGAAGTGTGGTCCACGAGGGCTGGCTCCTGAGGGAGAATCCACAAGCCCCCTCCCCTCTTCAGTGGATACAACTGAAGACTCCCTCGACGAAGGACCCGGGGCCCTGGTATTGGAGAGTGATTTGCTACTAGGCCAGGATCTGGAGTTTGAGGAGGAAGAGGAAGAGGAGGAAGGCGACGGCAACAGTGACCAGCTCATGGGCTTCGAGAGAGACTCGGAAGGTGGGTTTTCGGGACTTGGTTAAGGATTTGTGTGACCGCTGGAAACCCCAGCCCTTCAGGAGGCGGGTTAGGTGAACAGAACACCATTTCCTGCCTCAACTGAGGGCTGGTTTAGTTTACATTTGAGCTCGGTGACTTCATTTGTTTAATGGTCCAATCGCTTCCATCACTTTGTTCAGGTGAAGTTCTGAGGCCTGGTCAAAGGTGATATGAATAGGAGGGTGGGTGAATCACATGGAGCAACTGATTAAAAGTAAATGTTCTGTCCCTCTCCCAGGCCCATTCCTTATGTGTATTTACTTTTAAGAGGTTCAGGGAAGCAAACTCTCTGTAAATCATTCAACCCAGTACTTAGGTCTAATATAACCCTTTCACCTGCAGTGTAAGCTCCTTTTGTATTGAGAGGTTTTAGTTTGTCTTTATCCTTCCATGTCCCTCTTCCCTGTGATCTTAGCATCACCCTACCCTAATCTGCTGCACTAACCATCCACTTAGCAAGATGTTTTTGAAATTCATTGAGGGGATCCATGCAAATACGAAACTATTCTTCAGCCAGACAAGTGGTATTACATGCGTTACTTTCATTGTCTCCACTTCCCTCCAAATTTTGCCTCACAGGTTTTATTTTATAGCAACTCCTTACTAAAAGGGGCCTTAGCAATAGAGTTTAGAAAAGGTCTCCGGGCTCTCTGCCTTTTGTATTTTTACTTTGTTATCTCAAGAATTAATTCCATTATTGATTCATTTCAGTCTGTGGTCCACTGTGAGCCCTTGATCCTTGCCCATTCAGTGAAACTAGATACAGATCAATTCTTCTATCACTAGATTAGTCCAGTCTAAGAGGTAGAAAATTCATGTTGAATTTCTTGGTATTGCAGGGGAGACCTTGATTTCTAGGAGGGAACTAAAGGGATCATCAAAGCTAAGGATGGAGCCTGATCCTACCCCATGCTGATGTCTCTTCTCCTGTCTATTTCACCAGGAGACTCTCTGGGGGCCAGGCCTGGGCTTCCCTATGGGCTGAGCGACGATGAGTCTGGGGGCGGCCGGGCACTAAGTGCCGAGAGTGAAGTTGAGGAGCCAGCCAGGGGTCCAGGGGAGGCCAGGGGTGAGAGGCCAGGCCCAGCCTGCCAGCTGTGTGGGGGGCCGACAGGTGAGGGGCCGTGTTGTGGGGCAGGAGGGCCGGGTGGGGGGCCCCTGCTGCCCCCACGGCTACTGTACTCATGCCGCCTCTGCACCTTCGTGTCCCACTACTCGAGCCACCTGAAGCGGCACATGCAGACACACAGCGGGGAGAAGCCGTTCCGCTGTGGCCGCTGCCCCTACGCCTCAGCCCAGCTCGTCAACCTGACACGACATACCCGCACCCATACTGGCGAGAAGCCCTACCGCTGTCCCCACTGCCCCTTTGCCTGCAGCAGCCTGGGCAACCTGAGGCGGCATCAGCGTACCCATGCAGGGCCCCCCACTCCTCCCTGCCCGACCTGTGGCTTCCGCTGCTGTGCTCCACGACCAGCCCGGCCTCCCAGTCCCACAGAGCAGGAGGGGGCGGTGCCGCGGCGACCTGAAGGTAAGAGAGGCCAGGGACCAAAGATCTTGGGACATGGGTGGCTAGTCCTAGGAATGCTTGGATTGGATTCATAGCCCAGGTCTTTGTCCCCACAGATGCTCTGCTCCTTCCAGATTTGAGCCTCCATGTGCCACCAGGTGGTGCCAGTTTCCTGCCAGACTGTGGGCAGCTGCGGGGTGAAGGGGAGGGCCTCTGCGGGACTGGATCAGAACCACTGCCAGAGCTGCTGTTCCCTTGGACCTGCCGGGGCTGTGGACAAGAGCTGGAGGAGGGTGAGGGTAGTCGGCTGGGAGCTGCCATGTGTGGGCGCTGCATGCGAGGAGAGGCTGGAGGGGGTGCCAGTGGGGGGCCCCAGGGCCCCAGTGACAAAGGCTTTGCCTGTAGCCTCTGCCCCTTTGCCACTCACTATCCCAACCACCTGGCCCGGCACATGAAGACACACAGTGGTGAGAAGCCCTTCCGCTGCGCCCGCTGTCCTTATGCCTCTGCTCATCTGGATAACCTGAAACGGCACCAGCGCGTCCACACAGGAGAGAAGCCCTACAAATGCCCCCTCTGCCCCTATGCCTGTGGCAATCTGGCCAACCTCAAGCGTCACGGTCGCATCCACTCTGGTGACAAACCTTTTCGGTGTAGCCTTTGCAACTACAGCTGCAACCAGAGCATGAACCTCAAACGTCACATGCTGCGGCACACAGGGGAGAAGCCCTTCCGCTGTGCCACCTGTGCTTATACCACAGGCCACTGGGACAACTACAAGCGCCACCAGAAGGTGCATGGCCACGGTGGGGCAGGAGGGCCTGGTCTCTCTGCCTCTGAGGGCTGGGCTCCACCTCATAGCCCACCCTCTGTTTTGAGCTCTCGGGGCCCACCAGCCCTGGGCACTGCTGGCAGCCGGGCTGTCCATACAGACTCACCCTGAACTAGGTCCTCCTTCCCCATTTTATACAGATGGACTAGAAGCCACCTGCTTCCTCCCCCGCTGGCCAGGGGCTCCACACAGACTAACCTAGGCACTATAAGGATCAGCCCAACCCCATGGGCCGGGGGGGTCATATGGACCAGAGGGCCTTGCCTTGACTGATGCACTTCATGAGCTCAGTGAGAAGGGCCCTGTATCCACTTCCACTGCTCCCAGGGGCTGTGGACAACCTGGCTGGAGGACTGCCCAGCCTCCCACCTGTTTAACTTATTTCAGTGCTTTATAATAAAGGAAACACTAACAAAGCCATGTCTATGCTGAATTGGCAATGGCAGGCAGTTTAGCCTTACTATTAGCATAGTAGTCCATGCTATGATGGAGGAAGCAGGGGCAGTGAGAGGGAACCAGAGGTAGGCAGCAATCAGGCTGAGTTTAATGATGGGGAACTGGGCCACACCAAACACACACCTCTGCCCATCCCCTTGGCCTATTGCCCATGGCCCCAAGAAGCCAGAAGTGGCTCATGGGGAGCTGTGGTTCCTCCCCAAGGCAGGTAGCCATGGTCCCTTGGACTTTGTGCAAAATACTAAATGCTAATTTGGCATCGAGGGCCAGCTCTGAAAAGAGAAGGGGCGATCCCTTGTGCAGCCAGCCCAGGGAAAAAGGAAAGGTAGGTTATGAGGCCCTGGCCAAGAGAAAAGCAGAAAGTAGGAAGGTGGGGAAGGAAAAGACCCTCCTCCCCCATGAGCTGGGGGGACACAGGCACAGGGCAAATTTCAATTCCTCTGGGGTAGAGGGCAGACATCCAAGCAGTGGAGATTACAGATCCTCATCTCCAATGCCCTCGAAGGCAAAATTGCCGTGGACATCACTGGCACTGGCATCTGTGCTGGGACTGCCAATTCCCCGCAAGCTCACGGCACTCAGCTTACTCTGTAACAAAGGCAGGGTGGAGTCAGAGAGCTTGGGTGTGCAAGATCCCCCCAACACCAACCTCACCAACCCTGGAACTCACTGAGAGTTTGACCATAGACTCCCGGGTGGCATCAGGTGACTCCTGGGGAAGAAGAGGCAGAGGTGTCAGAAACTCACTAGGAGAGGTGAGGCAGGGCTGAGAGCCAGGGTTTTGACCAGGAGGTAATACTTACAAGCAGTGGTGGGGACTTCACTGCTTGCTGGCTGTCTGAACGTCTCAGAGTGCCCCCCACCCGCCGGCGCAGCATCTGGGGACAGATACAAGGTGCCGGTGAGGACAGGATCACTTCCCCTCTGAAGAGAAGCCTCACATCTAGGACAAAAGGCAGAGGGAGCACACCCACTCGCTGCTCAGTCCACACTTGCTGCCTACCTTCCTGATACTGCCACCAGATTTCTTCACCATCAGCTCATCCACCATGGACTGCAAGCAGATGCTCATCATGATAGCCTGAGGGCAAGAAGAGTGCCCAGCTTGACAAGACTGGTCACTCTTGAGCCCAGCACCACTAAGGGCTCCCACATTGAGTAGTGGAAGGCCTACACTTTGATCTAAGGGGCTCCAGAGGAGGTCTGAGGGTAGGTTCACACCTGGGGGCTAGTGATGGTGACCCACTGTAGCCGGTCCTTGCTCATGAGGTATTCAAAAGCCAGTTCCAGACGCACCTCACCCCGGCCCCGGCCTGGGCTACTTGTGCCTCCACTGGGCAATGGCACCTGAGAGAGGAAGGGGAATTAGGCTGAGTTCACTCTGACCAACCTGCCTGCCTCCCTGACCCACTGCAGCCCACGCCTAAGCTCAAGGCTTGTCAGGCCCCCAGCCCAGGCCTCCCCTTCCTACCCCAACTCACGGAGGAGGTGACACGCCAGCATCGCATGCGGGTGACCCGGAAGGACCCTTCTCGGAGTTGCTGGCCAGGCAGACGGAGCTGGAGGCTGAGCTCACTGTTACCTGCGCTCACCACCACAGGACAGTCCTTCTCTGGGAAGTCAGCCACACAGGCATCAAAGCGTAGGTAGCCATAGTGCCGCAGCGTCTGGGCCAGCCTCAGGAACTGAAGAATGGTCATCATGTGGGATAGATTAGGAGGGGGAATGGGGCAGCTCAGACAAAGCAACCCTTTGGAGGGAGACAGAGAGGCAGGGCTCACCTCCTTCTTGGAGACTTTCTCTTGCAGAGATTTGAGTTGCCGGTGCTGTTCCTTGGTGACCAAGATCCACCCACGCTCAATATCTGATACTGTCTATAGTAGAGACAAGGGGCAGGCAGTAGGAGATTTCAGTCAGCAATTCAAGGAAAGTGTCTACAGTTACCTCTGTCCAGCCTGACCCCTAGCCCCACACTTGAGTGACCTCTTTGCAGTAAGTCCTGGATCTTATCAGTTTAATAAAAGTTGGGAGAGTAGATACTGTGCCAGCAGCACTGATAGTATTCTAGGAACTTCCCCATGAACTGGGAACAAAGACATGACAGGAGTTTTCTTGGGAGAGTGAGTCACCAGAGTTATATTCTTCAGGGGAAGGGTTCTGAGGCAGCTCCAAACTCACCTGAGCATAAAGCAGGTTCAGGCCAACCCGGTTCTCCATGACATCGTCATCATAGGCAGAGTCCCAATAACTGTGAGGCCAAGGGGTGGAAAGGGGTAACGGGGCTAAGCTGGGGTAAGGCAAGACTTAGAATGGAAAATTTGCAAAACAGGAGCAATCTGGAACTATCAGGGGCTAATGGTATATTGGAAGGAAGCTTGGGAGGCCTGGCAGAAACACCCAGCACTATACCCCCTTGTCCAGATTATTCTGTCTAAATACGTGGCCCAATAATCCACTCTAGCATGGCACCCCCCACCCCCCGCTTCCAGGCCCAGCCCTGACCTCTTCCTGAGCACAATCTTATACTCTTGACTCCGAAGACTGGTAACAGACACATAAGGCAGCTCAAACTCTTGCAACTTCCGTACAACTATGGGTTTTTTAAATTAAAAAAAAAAAAAAAGGAAAATGTAATGAGATTTAAAGGAAGGGAAGTCAAGACAGTAGTGCCCTGAGGCAATGCTCATGGGGCAAAAGGGGGGTGTTAGAGGGGCTGCAAACTCACTACTGTAAGTACAATGAAGCAGTCAAGTCCAGAGAAACTCACAAGAAAAGGCTCCATCCTCTTTTTCTCGAACTAAGAATAGACTAAAGTATCCAATCAGGTCATCTGGAAGATCCAGCTTTGCAGCTACAGCCTGGGGATGGGGATAGAAGTATAGTTCATCATACTGGCTGGTTCCAATCATTCTCCAAGCCCAGGACCCTGGGGTGCAGGGGGAGAAGGGACAGTGCTGAACAAGTGCCTCACCTCCAGGACATCCTCAGTTTGATCTGAAGTTAGCACATTGACCAGAACTTTCTGCCCGTTGCTGAGCAGCACTTCCAAGGATACCTCCTCTGTGGGGACCTGCTGTGTCTCCTGTTGTGAGCATACATGGGGATTGGAGGCACTGCCTTGTCCCTTGCCCTGACCTATGTCCAACTCTATTTATAGGTCTCTTTTGTATCTTTATTCTCAGCTGCTTAAATACAGGCTGGGATTTCTTTGATTTCATGGGAATTAGCGGAAGTTCCATTTAATTAAAAAAAGATGACCTCTCTGATATTATACTCAAATGACATGGCCTGGCCGGGCATGGTGGCTCACACCTGTAACCCAGCACTTTGGGAGGCCGAGACGGTAGTTTGTGACCATCCTGGCCAACATGGCAAAATCCCATCTCCACTAAAAATACAAAAATTAGCCAGGCATGGTGGCGGGCATCTGTAATCCCAGTTACTTGGGAGGCTGAGGCAGGGGAATTGCTTGAACCCAGGAGGCGGAGGTTGCAGTGAGCTGAGATTGCACCACTGCACTCCACCCTCGGCAAGGGTGAGTGAGACTCTGTCTCAAAAAAATAAAAAGGTCCTTTCCTTAAATCTTGGTCCCACCCAAAGCCCTACCTGTTGTGCCCGACGCAGGAAACTGTTGAAGGTCTCGCTGCTCCCAAGCAATGGGTCTTGCCGAACTATGGGGACAAGAAAACAATATTACAGGAACTTAGGACTCACTCTTGGCTCCCCAGGCCTCCACTCAGTAGGTTTTCCAGACCCATTTCCTGGGCTGATGATGGCCTGCCACATCCCCCAGCTGGCCTCACCTCACTCACTGTTTGCATAAATTCTTCACCTGCCCCACCCTTGGCTGCCATCTAGGTGAGTCCAGTCTATAGAACTAGGGAAATAACAGTGATGTTAATCTAAAGCACATCAGATACAAATTAAGTTCTCTCCACTGATCTTTTTTTTGAGACGGAGTTTCGCTGTTGCTACCCAGACTGGAGTGCAATGGCAGAATCTCGGCTCACCGCAACCTCCGCCTCCTGAGTTCAAGCAATTCTCCTGCCTCAGTCTCCCGAGTAGCTGGGACTACAGGCACGCGCCACCATGCCCAGCTAATTTTTGTATTTTTAGTAGAGACGGGGTTTCACCTTGTTGACCAGGATGGTCTTGATCTCTTGACCTCATGATCCACCCGCCTTGGCCTCCCAAAGTGCTGGGATTATAGGCGTGAGCCACCGCGCCCGGCCTCTCCATTGATCTTAATTTAAGACTAGTGTTATACTAGCATTTCTCATAGATGTTAGTGCCCAAATTGTTTTGCTAGTACATAGAGTTACACATCCTGGTAGACTATTTACTTTGCTAATTACATAACAGATCAAACAAGAGGCTTCCCAGATCTAGAAATTAAATCAGGCCCTTCTACAGAACCAGCTATTTTCAAGTCTCTCCCCATAGTCCTCAGCATAGTCAACCTAAAGTTTCCTGCAACCACTCACCAGCTTGCATGTACTTCTCTAACTGCTCTCTCCTCTGTTCTACCTCAGCAGGAGTCAGAGAGAAAAGCTTCTTTGGGGGGAATGCAGGAAGCACATTGGCCCCATACTCCTTCCGAAGCTATTTAGAGAAAGAGATACAACCCTTCACATAAACACAGAAAATGAGAGGAGGCAATCTACACTCATAATGTTCTGTTGAGCACCCCTCCCTTCCCTCAGTCCCTGCTCCCCGGTCTATCCTGGTCATCTGAGAAACAATTCCTTTGGCAGTGGTAGCATCTCAAGGGAGCTGTCCTCGATATAAGTTGTTCTCTATCTTATTGTGTACAAGTCAACCCCTTACAGTATGGGGAGCATTTGTACTGGGCCAGGACCCATAGGGATCCCCTTGACCACCTAGCAAGACTGTTCACTGAACCCTCACAGGAAGCAAAGGGCTTCATAATGTGCACAGTTAATAGCTAAGTCTGTTCACAAAGTATCTTAGAACTTAAAGGGACTTTGCAGATCAAATAATTCATCTTTCAGTTGTAGAAACTTAGGACCAAAGTAACACGCGGGCGCGGTGGCTCACGCCTGTAATTCCAGCACTTTGGGAGGCCGAGGTGGGCAGATCACCCGAGGTCAGGAGTTCAAGACCAGCCTGGCCAACATGGTGAAACCCTGTCTTACTAAAAATACAAAAATTAGCTGGGTGTGGTGGCAGGCACATGTAATCCCAGCTACTCAGGAGGCTGAGGCAGGAAAATCACTTGAATTCGGGAGGCAGAGGTTGGAGTGAGCTGAGATCATACCGCTGCACTTCAGCCTGGGTGACAAGAGCAAAACTCCATCTCAAAAAAGAAAAGAAAAATAAAAAGAACTCAGGTTAACTTGCTCAGGGTTGTACAACTAATTATCAGTAGAAATCTACTGAGTTAAATAGACTTTACGATTTGGTAAGGAAGGAGAACAGATACTGCATCACAGATACATAACGATAACTGTAACAGCTAAAGCATGGAAACGAGCCAAAGAATACAAAACGAAACTGATAAATCGTTTGTATAAGCAGGGAAAGGAATTTCAAGTTGCAGCTCAGATAACAGATGGAATGTGCTTTGACAACCTGGGTGGAGGTAGTAGCAGGTAGGGGATGGTTTGTCCATGCAAGGGTAAAGGCTACTAGAGCAGGAAGACTGGACAGAGAACCAGGATATGAGTACAGAAAGGAGCAGTTGTTGCGCAGACGTTAAAGCTTCTTAGGGAGTTCCCCAGAAATGTCAGACAAAACAAACCAGGACCCTTCCCTGTGGCAATGATTAAAGGGGAACTACAGCCTACGGAACAAGAGCGGGTAAAGGGAGACACAGATGTCCACGTGTAGGGAAAGGCTTGAAGCTGTTTCAAGGCAGGGGTGCTAGTCCCACCTGCTCGTGCAGCCCCAGGAGCTGGCTGTAGCGCACCCGACAGTGCAGGACTCCATTCACGTGTATGTTATAGGCCTGAGGACACAAAAGTAGTCAAGCATTTTAGGGTTGTGGTCTGCGCAACCCCCTTGAGGACCTTGGCAGAAAGTTGCCTGGCAACTCCGCCGGAGTAACGCGCTAATCTCCCGAGGGTTAGTTCGCTTGTTTTCCCCAGGGCCAAGTCCCAAAGCTAAAGAGCCAATCCGGGGGAAATTCGGACGCTTGTGTTGCAGTCTCCCTGCCCAAGAAGCACCCGCGGCCTAGCTGGGGGAGGCGACCCGGCAGAACAAAGGGCCTACAGGAGCTCGGGCGACCACTGTACGAATCAGACATACGAGATAAGCTCCCAGAAAGGCCGTCGGGAGTAGGCAGCCCAGGACCAGGCCCGAAGGGTGGCGGTCAGGCTTCGGAGGTCGCTCCGAGAGGGCTCGGGCCCGTTATCCCCGCCCCTGCCCGGCCCGGCTTCGGCCGCTCCTCACCACGTAGGCGGAGCCGCCGCTGTCCCCGCTGCGGGACTCGGTTTCGGGAATGGAAAAGTGCATGTTCCCTACTGCAGGGCCCTGCCGGGCTCCGGACTGTGAGGGCCGCAGCGGCTCTGCACGCTCCCCTCCGCTGCTCAGCGAGTCTCCGCAGCCTCACTCGCCATTTTGGGAGCCCTGCGATCCGAAGTGGAGGGGCGGTGGGACGTCGGCCCCGAGACGCAGCCGCTCGTACATGCTGGGAACTGTAGTCTAAAGGGCAAAAGCTGCGTTTCGGGATCGGGAGCCCGAAGCGCACTTGGCCCTCGTTGCGACCCGTAGTGCGGGGCAGGGTGCGGGGGGCGGAGCGGTGCCCCATGGCCCGTTGGAAGTTGTAGTCCGATTGGAAGCTGCACGCTTCGCTTCGGTGGCTCAGCCTCCCGCCCAGGTGGCGCTGTGGACCCAGCGGCCGCGGAGCCAGGCAGCCGAGCGGCTTCGTGACCGCGGCGGGCGGAGCCTAGGACTGAGGGCGATGGCTGCCGTGGCCGTGGCTGTTCGCGAGGGTGAGTGAAGGGCCGGGCCTGCCTACTGGTACGGGGTCGACGAGCTTCGGACAGCTAGTGCCGGGCCCTGAGCGCTTTTGGGCCCCGCCCCTCCGTTCCGGCGCTACGCTGGGCTCCGGTCTACACAGTCTCGAGCGCAGTCCCGCGCCGCTGCACCGGCTGGTTCCTGTGAGGAGGGTCGGTGACCCCTCCTTTCCTTTGATCCGCCGCGCAGTGCGTCCCCACGCGGATCCCTGGCTCGCCTCGCGGCTGGCTGCGGAGCCGTGGTCATGCCAACCCAGCAGCCGGCTGCGCCGAGAACGAGTGCCCCCAAACCTTCCCGAAGTCTCTCTGGCTCACTTTGTGCCCTGTTTTCTGATGCAGACTCGGGATCCGTGATGAAGGCGGAGCTTCCCCCTGGGCCTGGGGTAAGTGAGGCTTCCCTCCCAAGCCGCCTGCCAGGCGCTACGCAGGAGGCTATGACAGCTCCCATCCCGTTTCAGTTTATTTCTCAGTAAGCTAGGCGATTTTACAGAGTTCTTGCAACCCTAGCGATATGTGATTCTGTTCCTGGAGAAGAAACTTCAGTCTGGATGTAAACTTGTAACAGGTAGCTTGTAGAAGTTAGGGAGAACTAGGGATTTTAAATCATGTGGAAATCTTGTAAGCATCCAATAGTGTTTGTTCCTCTGGAATTGTTGGGGAAGAGCAGTATCTTATGTCTGTGTCTCAGGCAGTGGGGAGAGAAATGACCAAAGAAGAGAAGCTGCAGCTTCGGAAGGAAAAGAAACAGCAGAAGAAGAAACGGAAGGAGGAAAAGGTGGCAGAATCAGAAACTGGCTCTGCTGTATCTGCAGCCCAATGTCAAGGTGTGGGTTTTTTTTTAAAGGGCTGGGGTGTGGAGCTGGTAGAGGAATATGGTGGGAGAGAGAAGGGAGAGACAGGACTAAGTTGTTTTGAGCAAGTGTGTAAAGCAAAGAGATAAACAAGGACAGAAGCTAGTTTTAGCTGCGGCACGGATATTGCCCGCAGACAGCTTGGGCACTTTTTTTTTTTTTTTTAAATGCTTTTAGTAGGCCCAACCAGAGAACTGCCAGAATCGGGCATTCAGTTGGGTACGCCTGGGGAGAAAGTACCAGCTGGTCGGAGTAAGGCTGAACTTCGGGCTGAGCGTCGAGCCAAGCAGGAGGCTGAGCGGGCCCTGAAACAGGCAAGAAAAGGAGAACAAGGAGGGCCACCTCCTAAGGCCTGCCCCACCACCTCCAGCACAGCTGGAGAAACCCCCTCAGGTATTTTCCCTTCATTTTAAGACCTCCCTTACTCCTAATTCTAACACCAGCTCAGGCTGCCCTGTAATAAAACAGCTCTCTCCTCTCATTCTCACCTTGGGACCCAGAGTTCTGAATTCTTCCCACAACCCCATCATCCTATTCTCCCATTTCCCCCACCTCATACTGTTTTTCTTGATGCCTCTCATACCCTAAGAGCAAATTACCCATTTCAAGACCTACAGGGTCCTGAAAACAGGATCATTATCTTTCAGGAGTGAAGCATCTCCCTGAGTACCCTCAGGTTGATGACCTACTTCTGAGAAGGCTCGTTAAAAAACCAGAGCGTCAGCAGGTAGGAAGTGGGTTTGGTGCCTGGCTAGAAAGAGCCTAGGAAAATGGACTGGCATGGGGAAAGGTGCTGGGAACAAAGTGAGACCTTGGAGAAGGATGGGTGCTTGGGTCAGAGTAGTGTTACTGTTCACTTCCCTTCCAGCTTTATCCCAACATTTTTAAACTCGGGACTATTGGTGCTGTTCCCCTGTTTTGTCTAGGTTCCTACACGAAAGGATTATGGATCCAAAGTCAGTCTCTTCTCTCACCTACCCCAGTATAGCAGACAAAACTCTCTGACCCAGTTTATGAGGTAGGATCCTATGACTTTGTCATAACTTTTGAGTCTGAGGAGTTTTAGTAAGTCAGTATTGAAAGTGAATAGTAATCTGAGATTGGCTCTGTGGGAAGAAGTATGAACCCAAGGCAGAACTGTAGAGGAACTGGGGAGATCTGTGCTAGTGAAGGAAGTTCCTTTTCATCAGGGGCAGGTGGGCAGTAGGTGCTCAAGCTCCCTTTCAAAGTATGTGACACCGCCATCCCATCAGCATCCCATCCTCTGTGATCCACCCAGCCATGGTGCGACTCGGCCTGCAGTACTCCCAGGGCCTGGTCAGTGGCTCCAATGCCCGGTGTATTGCCCTGCTTCGTGCCTTGCAGCAGGTATGTCCCATCCTGTTCTCTCTTATGATCCAACCCCAACTCCCCCAACACTACCCCAGCTTCTGTCACCCAAAGTCATCTCTGGGGGACAGAGGGAATACTCCCACCCTCAGAACATTTTCCTCAGTGAAGCTTACCCCTAATCTCCCTTCAGAGGTCTTTATTAAGGGGCATTTTGCAGATCAACCTGTGTACTCTGTAGGTGATTCAGGATTACACAACACCACCCAATGAAGAACTCTCCAGGGATCTAGTGAATAAACTAAAACCCTACATGAGGTAGGGACAACCACTATAAGTCCACTCCCACCTCACCCAATCTTTGTCTTGTACTTTTTCCTGCTTTCCTATCTCTGTTTTCATTTTCTGTTTTATTTTCTTGTCAAAGACATTTTTTAAAATGTGAAAGCTTTGTTAGTTGTGCAGAGTTGCACACAGGTAAGGTATTGCTGTTGCATTATAGCTTCCTGACTCAGTGCCGTCCCCTGTCAGCGAGCATGCACAACGCCATCAAGTTTCTTAACAAGGAAATCACCGGTGTGAGCAGTTCCAAGCGGGAAGAGGAGGTGATGAGTATGAGAAATGAGGAAGGCATGCACCATGGGTAGAATTAAGAAACATGTTCACAACTCCTGGGAGGGCCAACATAAGCCTTTTTTGCCCTGGTCAAGGATTAAGGAAGGGTTTTGGCATTCTGCCTTGTGCCATCTCTTGGTCCCCGTCATTATACACATGTTCAAGCACGTGGCATGATCATCATCAGGAGAAAAGAGTCCCTTTCTTGTTTACTAAGCATTTTACTCCATTTAGGCCAAGTCAGAACTTCGAGCAGCCATTGATCGGTATGTGCAAGAGAAGATTGTGCTTGCAGCTCAGGCAATTTCACGCTTTGCTTACAAGAAGATCAGTAATGGAGATGTGATCCTGGTATATGGATGGTATGGTCCAGACCCTATGAGCAAATTGGGGAGTTGGAATGATCTGAAGGATTACCCACTTGCCTTTGGGAATAAGTTAGTCATCAGTTAGTGACATTTATAACTGAATCCTCCTCTTCATTTACTCTAGCTCATCTCTGGTATCACGAATTCTTCAGGAGGCTTGGATAGAAGGCCGGCGGTTTCGGGTGGTAGTGGTGGACAGCCGGCCACGGCTGGAGGGAAGGCACATGCTACGTTCTCTAGTCCGTGCTGGGGTCCCGGCCTCCTACCTGCTGATTCCTGCAGCCTCCTACGTGCTCCCAGAGGTGAGTACAGGAGAAAAGGACTCCAAAGTTGGAGGTAAAAAGGTGTAGTAGTATAAACATAATCTCACCTTCCCAAAGTTACAGTTTTGTTTTGTAACTTTTGTACAAGATGGAGTGCAGTGGTATGATCATAGTTCACTGCAGCCTTGACCTTCTGGGTTCAAGTGATCTTCCCACCTCAGCCTCTGAGTAGCTGGGACTACTGGTGTGCACCACCATGCCCATGTAATTTTTAATTTTTCTTGTAAAGATGGGATCTTGATATATTGACCAGGCTGGAACTCCAGGGCCCAAGCAGTTCCCCCTTCGTTGGCCTCTAAATGTACTGGGATTACAGGCATAAGCCACTGTGCCCAGCCATAGTTATTTAGAAATATTAGAATTATATAGTCCTGGCCTGGTGCTGGGGCTCATGCCTGCAGTCTCAGCACTTTGGGAGGCCAAGGCGGGAGGATCAGTTGAGCCCAGGAGTTCAAGACCAGCTTACTCAACATTATGAGACCTTGTCTCCACAAGAAATAAAAAATTAGCTGGGCATGGTGGCATGTGCTTGTAGTTCCAGCTACTTAGGAGGCTGAGGTGGGAGGATCACTTGAGCCCAGGAGGTTGAGGCTACAGTGAGCTGTGATTGCACCACTGCACTCCAGCCTGGAAGACAGAGTGAAACTCTGTGTCAAAAAAAAGAATTACATAGCCCTGTTTGTATTTAATTGGAAAAACACTGACAGTGTGTTACACTGTCATTACATTAAACTAGCAACCATGAAGAGGGAACAGGACAAAAGTAACTTCAAAGTTTAGTGTTCCTGTGGGAGATTTTGTGGGTCAGTGGGCAGGTGTTTTCACAGAACAAGAGCCATCGTTAAGGTGTTTTCACAGAAGAAAAGCCATCATTAAGATTTATTACTTGTCTCTTTTTCCTTCCCTTCTTTTCACAGGTGTTGAGATTTATTAATTGTCTTAATGTTGCTGTTCTATAAGTAGGGGACCTTATTCTGCACTGGTACAACAATGACATTCTTTTCTTCCCCTTCTCCTGTGAAACAAATAGGTTTCCAAGGTGCTATTAGGAGCTCATGCACTCTTGGCCAATGGGTCTGTGATGTCTCGGGTAGGGACAGCACAGTTGGCCCTGGTGGCTCGAGCCCATAATGTGCCAGTGCTGGTTTGCTGTGAAACATACAAGTTCTGTGAGCGTGTGCAGACTGATGCCTTTGTCTCTAATGAGCTAGGTAAGGAGGGCAGAAGAGAATCTTCCAGCTACCTGTGAAAACTTGAGGGAGAGGGAGAGGGGCGGTTAAACTGGAACTTCTTTTCTGAAAGAATATAATGGATACACCTTCCATTGCAGATGACCCTGATGATCTGCAGTATAAGCGGGGAGAACATGTCACGCTGGCTAACTGGCAGAACCACGCATCCCTGCGGTTGCTGAATCTAGTTTATGATGTGACTCCTCCAGAACTTGTGGATTTGGTGATCACAGAGCTGGGGATGATCCCTTGCAGTTCTGTACCTGTTGTCCTACGAGTCAAGAGCAGTGACCAGTGAGGGGGAAACAGGGTTAATAAATGCCACACTCCCTATCCTCAGCAACTCTGCTGCCTTTGTTTCTCTTCTAGCATCTCCACCACTTAAGTTAGGAGTTCAGACTCCACAACCCCCTTTATCACCTGCTACTAACCTCAGACCTTTGTGGAGACCCTCTCAGGTAACTAGCTCCATGCCAGTACATCGGGGCTAATGTGAAGGTCAGTATAAAGAACAAAAACTACCCAAATCATCAGTCATTCACTGAGCATCTACATGTCAGACACTTAACTAGGTATGAGGAGGAATATGAGGACAAATAGTCTTGGGCTGGGCGCACTGACTCATTCCTGTTATTTCACCATTTTGGGAGACAAAGGCAGGATTGCCTGAGCCCAGAGGTTTGAGACCAGCCTGGGCAACATGGCCATCCTGTCTCTGCAAAAAATAAAAATTAGCTGGGCATGGTTGTGCTCATCTGTTGTCCCAGCTACTCAAAAGGCTGAAGCTGGAGGATTGCTTGAGCCCAGGAGATAGAGGCTACAGTAAGCCATGATTGTGCCACTGCACTCCACCCTGTCTCAAAAAAAGAGTCCTAACTCTATAACTCAGCATTTGTTAAATACTTATTGTGTGTCAAAAACTGTTCTGAGCCCTTTCCTACCCAATTAGGAAGATTAATACAACTCTATGAATGCCAGGTGCTGTGGCTCATGCTTGTAATCCTAGTACTTTGGGAGGCTGAGGCAGGTGGATCATGTGAGGTCAGGAATTCAAGACCAGCCTGGGCAACATGATGAAACCCTGTCTCTATTAAAAATACAAAAATTAACTGGGCATGGTTGTGCATGCTTATAATCTCAGCTACTCAGGAGGTTGAGGCAGGAGAATGGCTTGAACCCAGGAGGCAGAAGTTGCTGTGAGTCGAGACTGAGCCATTGCACTCTAGCCTGGGCAACAAAGCGAGGCTCCATCTCTAAAAATAAAAATAATAATACAACTCTATTAAGTAAATGAGATTTTACAGATGAGATAATGGAAGCACAGAAAGGTTAAGTTGCTTGCCCAAGGCAACACAGCTCAGGCACAGAAAGGTTAAGTTACTTGCCCTAGGTAACACAGCTTAGGCAATAGCAAAACGAGGATGTGATCTCAGGCAGTCTGGATCAGAGAATGTGCCATTAACTTTTGTGCTCTATTTCCTTAAGGAGCACCACCTACCTTGGCAGAGGAAGATATGTCTACAATATGAGGTAACCCACTAGTAGTATGAACAAAAGATTGGTGAAGACCTCACAGGCCACATCTAACGTAGTCCTTGAAAGATAAGTAATTTCCCAGTTGGGAGAAGGAAACAAAAAAACAAACTGAACACAAAGAATAAGCCTTAAATTGAGTGGCCAGTGTAGAGTTATGTAGTATGTTGAGGCTAGAACTGAGGTTTAATGTGAGTGATCAAGCTGCAAAGGTTAAGTTGAGGCCAGATTGTGAGTCCAATCACTGGGTAGCTTAAAATGGAGAGTTATCTATTGGGTATATGTGTATGTGTTTTATTGAATTATCTTTTTGAGACAGGGTCTCACACTGTTGCCTGGCTGGAGTGCAATGGCACGATCTCAGTTCACTGTAACCTCCACCTCCCAGGTTCAAGTGATTCTCCTGCCTCAGCCTCCCAACTAGCTGGGATTATAGGTGCCCACCAACACACCTGGCTAATTTTTTGTTGTTGTTTGTATTTTTAGTATAGACGGTTTCACTATGTTGGCCAGGCTGGTCTTTAACTACTGACCTTGTGATCTGCCCACCTCGGCCTCCCAAAATGTTGGCATTACAGGCGTGAGCCTCCACACCTGACCCTAATTTCTTTTTCTTTTTTGAGACAGAGTCTTGGCTCACTGCAACCACCACTTCCCGGATTCAAGCCATTCTCCTGCCTTAGCCTCCTGAGTAGCTGGGATTACAGGCATGTGCCACTATGCCTGGCTAATTTTGTATTTTTAGTAGAGATGGGGTTTCGCCATGTTGGTCAGGCTGGCCCCAAATGCCTAATCTCAGGTGATCTGCCCACCTCGGCCTCCTAAAGTGCTGCGATTACAGGTGTGAACCACTGCACCTGGCCATACTATGCCATTTTATATAAGAGACTTGAGCATCCACAGGTATTAGTATCTGCCAGTGTCCAGGAACAAATCTCAACAAATGGATGCTGTATTTACATTTGAGTATAAACACATAAAATGTCTTAGACTGAAAACAAGAAACTGATTAATTGCCTGGATGGCTGGAGACAGAGGCAGAATGGAGTCTTCACCTTATGAATACCCTTGTTATCTTTTGAATTTTCAGCCATGTGAATATCTTATTCCAGAATAAATAGAATTATTTATTTTAAAAAGAGATTTGCAGTGGCTCACGCCTGTAATCCCAGCCCTTTGGGAGGTGGAGGTAGGTGGACCCCTTGAGATCAGGATGAGACCAGCCTGGCCAACCTGGTGAAACATCTTCCCTACAAAAAATACAAAAATTAGTCGGGTGTGGTGCCAGATGCCTGTAATCCCAGCTACTCAGGAGGCTGAGGCAGGAGAATTGCTTGAACCCGGGAGGCAGACATTGCACTAAACTGAGATCCACTCCAGCCTGGGAGACAAAGCAAGGCTCTGTCTCAAAAAAAAAAAAAAAAAGAATTTTGCAATAGTTCAAGTCAAAGATAGCCTAATCTAAGGAAACAGGAATGAAGAGACGGATTTGTTCATTACAGAAGTAAATGCTTGAAACTCAGAGCTGTCCATCACACAAGCTAGCTAAGACAGAGGAAGACTCATGGGACTGGGTGTCCCCTTTCTCCCCCTTTTATTTTTATTTTCATTTTTTTTGAAATGGAGTCTTGCTCTGTCACCCAGGTGGGAGTGCAGTGGCACAATCTCAGCTCACTGCAACCTCTGCCTCCCAGGTTCAAGCAATTCTCCTGCCTCAGCCTCCCTAGTACAGGTGTGCACCACCATATCCAGCTAATTTGTATTTTTAGTAGATATAAGGTTTCGCCAAATTGGCCAGGCTGATCTCCGAACTACTGACTCAGATGATCCGCCTGCCTCAGCCTCCTAAAGTGCCAGGATTACAGGCATGAGCCACCACACTCGGCTTTCTCCCTCTCTTTTGTTTTTTTTGAGACGGAGTTTCGCTCTTGTTACCCGGACTGGAGTGCAACGGCAGGATCTCGGCTCACTGCAACCTCTGACTTCTGGGTTCAAGCAATTCTCCTGCCTCAGCCTCCCGAGTAGCTGGGACTACAGGCACGCACCACCATGCCGAGCTAATTTCTGTATTTTTAGTAGAGACGGGGTTTCACCATGTTGACCAGGATGGTCTCGATCTTTTGACCTCGTGATCCACCCGCCTCGGCCTCCCAAAGTGCTGGGATTATAGGCGTGAGCCACCGCGCCCGGTCAGCTTTCTCCCTCTTTTAGGTCTTAGCTATCTCTGTTAGTTTTCTTACATATATTGCACAACCAAGGGAATTTAATGGGTGAGATTACTTGGGCAGAGAAAGGTTTGTTTACTCCACCCCTTCCTTCTCCGCATTTATACATCATGCACTCTCTCCTCCAGGTATGGGGAAACTTGCAAAATTTCTCTTTTTTTCATGTCTTGGTAACAGCAAAAGAGACCTGTGATATTTATATGGCTTAAGATGCCTCAGGAAAAGACAGAAACCTGTTGCATTCATTCCTCCTCCACCGCATCTCACCTACCTTTGAGAGAATGGGGCAAAAACTCTGACCAAGGTCAAGGACCAAGGCCAGGGCTCACGCTCACAGTACAGCCTGCCGGCCTCAGGCCACTTTTCTCTTTTTTGCGATTCTTCTGCCTCAGCCTCTTGACTAAAGGTGCGCCACCATACCCAGATAGGGTAGCTTAGTATTTTTAGTAGAGACGGGGTTTCACCAAGTTGGCCAGGCTGGTCTCAAACTCCTGACCTTCAGTGATCCCTCTGCCTCAGCCTCCCAAAGTGCTGTGATTATAGGCATGAGTCACCGCGCCGGGCCTCCTTTTTTTTTTTTAATAGAGCAGGGTTTCACCAGGCGCGGTGGCTCACGCCTGTAATTCCCGGGCTTTGGGAGGTCGAGGCGGGTAGATCATGAGGTTAGGAGTTCGAGACTAGCATGGCCAACATAGTGAAACCCCGTCTCTACTAAAAAGACAAAAATTAGCCAGGCTTGGTGGCGTGCGCCTGTAATCCTAGCTACTCCGGAGGCTGAGGCAGGAGAACTGCTTGAAGCCGGGAGGTGGGTGTTGTTAGTGAGCTGAGATCGCGTCATTGCACTCCAGCCTGGGGAAAGAGCAAGGCTCCGTCTCAAAAGAAAAAAAAAGTAGACAAGTGACGGGATCTCACTATGTTGCCCAGGCTGGTCTCGAATTCCTGGGCTCAAGTGATCCTCCCAAAGTGCTGGGATTACAGGCATGAGCCACCACGCTCAGCCAAAGCCATCCTTTTCTTCTACTACTCCTTCCCTTCCTTGTCCCCTTTCCAAGCTCTCTCTGGCCCATCCCTGACTTCGCTACCAGCAGAAGCTGGAGTCATTTTACAGCGGCCGGCGGCGAAGACTTCTTTGTCTCCCAGACTCGTCTTGGCCTCGTACGCCGCCAGGTTGCAGGTACAAACTCTCAGGTCCAGCCGGCTCTTAGGGCCACAGGCGCGGCCGTCTGACCGGAAAAGCAGGATTCAACGATCCAGAGCGCAAGTCTAGCTACGGCGTCCGCCTCCTCCCGGCTCCCGTCGAGGCCGCGTGGGAACCCGTTTGGCCGCGCAGGCGTCGATCTCCCCTTTTTGACACTGAAACTCCCATGAGGCCCTGCAGCGTCCCCGGCACCGCTGAAGACGCCCTGGAAATCGGCCGGCTCCGGAGGGCTAGGTGAACTCTAGCCGCACTGCATTATGGAATACAGAGTCTAAGAGAAAACTAACGTGACACCGACACCCGACCAAGCTCACGTGTTTACCTTGTACAGTGGGGTGGGGGCGTCAGGGAAGAGCAGCTAACACGATTTCGTCATAAGACCGCGACCAGACAGGCGGCGCCATCTTCGAACTTAGACTTCCGGAAGGACTTTGGCGAGGGTGAGTGTACCGCCGCAGCGGGTGTGTGGGGGGCCCCACGATTACTCTTCCCCCTTCTTTTGCCGTAGCACTAAGATATTGGGAACAAAATCAGGCTCCGCTCTTCTTCCTGCCACAGCAGCTCCCCTTTCAGCGTCTGCGCTCCTACAGAGCACCATCATGCTCCGCACCTTCACTACTGTGGCCACCGTGCACACCCCCCCCCCCGCAAGCCTCGGGTTTTGCCCTCCTCCCCCCACGCGGTGTCGATAACGCGGCAGCCTGTGTCCGGGCGTCGGCGCTGCTTATATACCGTCCCTCGAACTCGGCCAACCTACAGTAGTAGTCCTTGGTCTTAGAAAAGCCAGGGCTCCTCTCAGAGGCTAGTGGAGAAAGCTGCCTTCACGCCTGGGACTGAAGGGCAGGTGATGGCCCCTAGAGTGGTGATGGGTCAATCTCTCAGCTGTGTCTCATCCTCTTCGAGGAGGCTCTTTAACCCCGAGGGTTGTGCCCCGCGCGCTGCAACGCCATTGGCGTAGCCAAGGGCCAGTTATGTTTCCCTGTCTAGTTCTTTTGTCCCGTGGCAAGTTGGCTGGCTGTTGGGGAAGGCAGAAGTGGCGACTTGAAGTCCGCCAGAGGTAACTCACTTTGTTAGAAGGATGTATAGGGTATGGACAAACCTCTTTGCCTTAAAGGCATATACAAGTTTAAGTCAATCAATCCTGTGCCATCGTCACTATTTTTGCCATCTCTTCTTATCAACTGTACTATTATTTTCTGAAGAGTTCTCTTTGAATTATTTAAAAAGTTTAAATCAATTTGTCTCGATTTGAGCATTATGAATGAAATTCTGGGTTTTATGGGCTACTTATAGTTTATGTAAGTTGAAATAAAAGCACTAGTCATTAAAATGTTTTCGTACCATTAAAATCATTTTGTATACCCCCGGTTGTACCGTAGGAAACTGTAGGAAGCAATTTATTAAGCCAATCAGTTTTTAAAGTAATTTCATATTTGAGGTGCAGTGTTGTGTCATTACTTTTTCTTGGCTGGGTAGGTCAGGCTGGCATCCTGGAGCAGCAAGGAAACCAGACAGTTTGGGGTGCAGTGTAAGATTTTATAAACTCTAGTACAAATTTAATAATCATCTATTCCTTTACTGTGTATTTAAATTTTGTATTATAAAATTATACATGGAAATACACCATCACATCCTGCTGCTGCCTTCCATGAAAAGTGCATTCTTAAAAGGATTTTTGTGCCTTGAGTCAGTTGTACAGTCAACAAAAGTTAATTATTACACTTACCATGTACCAAGTTTTAATACAATAGTGAATCAGACAAGTAAGATCCCTATCTTATGACACTTGTAGGGAAGATAAGTGCTGAACAAGTAAATACCCATATCTTTTATCCTCAAAATTCCAGATGAACTAGAGAACTAGATGTAAGATCCAAAATTAGAAAAATTCTTAGAAATAAGAGAACTGAGTGAGTGTAGTGCTCGTTCCTGCAATCCTAGCACTTTGGAAGGCTGAAGCGGACTGGATCACCTGAGGTCAGGAGTTCGAGAGCAGCCCAGCCAGCATGACAAACCCCGAGTATACTAAAAATAGAAAAATTAGCCGGGCATGGAGGCGCATGCCTATGATCCTAGCTCTGTAGGAGGCTCAGGCAGAAGAGTTGCTTGAATCCAGGAGGCAGAGGTTACAGTGAGGCAAGATCATGTCACTGCACTCCACCCTGGGTAACAGAGGGAGACACTGTCTCAAAAAAAAAAGAGAGAGAGAGAGAGATACTATGTTTAGGGTGAGGTGGCTCATGCCTGTAATCCCAGCACTTTGGCCGGCTGAGTCGGGTGGATTATCTCAGGTCAGGCTTTTGAGACTAGTCTGTCCAACATGGTGAAACCCTGTCTCTACTAAAAATACAAAAATTAGCTGCATGTGGTGGCACACCGCCTGCTTGGAAGGCTGAGGCAAGAGAATCGCTTGAATTCAGGAGGCGGAGGTTGCAGCGAGCCAAGATCATGCCATTGCACTCCAGCCTGGGCCACATGGAGACTGTCTCAAAAAACAACAACAAAAATTTTTTTTAATTCAAAAATTAGTTGGGCATGGTGGCAGGTGACTATAAGCACAGCTACACAGGAGGCTGAGGCAGGAGAATAGCTTGAATCTGGGAGGCAGAGGTTGCAGTGAGCTGAGATCATGCCATTGTGCTTCAGCCTGGACAACAACAGCAAAACTCTTAAAAAAAAAAAAAATTAAAAACTTCAGTTTGGCAAGAAATACTACAAACAAAGGTAAAAGTAGGCAGAGAAACTACTAGCAGCATAAATAACTTACACAGATCAATAGAGAAAACTGGAAATCAGCAAATTATATATACAGGCAATTCATAAAAGACATATGGATGTCCAATATATAGAAGGAAGTTGTTAACACCAATTATTAGTGTAAATAAATAGAGGGGAAGAGTTCTTTCACTTATCAGGTTGTCAAAAATTGTAAAGATCAGTAAGGATGTGATAAAATGGGTACTAATATACATAAATAGTTTTCATTTTGTTGAGCTGTTTAGCAGTATCTATTACATTTTGAAATGTGCATATTCTTCAGTGTAGTACAGTAATTCCATGTCCAGATGATTATTCTAGAAAAGTAATTTATTATTGAAGAGATTCATACTAGAATATTTATTGCAGTATTGTTTATAATAGTATTTTAACGCAATTGTTCATGAAATGAGATTGTCTAAATAAACTAATTCTATGGAATGCCATATAGCAATTAGGAGATAAACATGTGTACTGATATAGAAAATCCCTTTTTTTTCTTTTTTTTTTTTTTTAAATGGAGTCTCCCTCTGTCACCCAGACTGGAGTGCAGTGGCGTGATCTCAGCTCACTGCAACCTCTGCCTTTTGGGTTCAAGTGATTCTCCTGCCTCAGCCTCCTGAGTAGCTGGGATTACAGGCACCTGCCAGCAAGCCTGGCTAATTTTTGTATTTTTAGTAGAGATGGGATTTCACTATGTTGGCTGGGCTTGTCTCCTGACCTCAAGTGATCTATCTGCCTTGGCTTCCCAAAGTGCTGGGATTACAGGCGTGAGTCACAGTGCCAGGCCTAGAAAATCCTTAAGACATGTATAGAAGCTCTCAACAGATTTCGGTTTAACTAGCTCCTAATGTTAACTGACATACCCTATCTCCTCTGTAAATCCTTTAAGCTTGTAGGTTTTTCCCCTATAGACCTGGTCAGTTTGCTTCTCCTAGTTGAGCTGAATTCTTGCCAAGAGAATTCTTACCACTGTATTGGTTCCCACGTTTTTTTGTATTTGTTGTTGAGACAAGGTCTTGCTCTATCACCCAGGCTGGTACAGTCCAATGACCAGAGCTCACTGGAACCTTGAACTCCTGGGCTCAAACAATCCTCCTGCCTCAGCCTCACAAGTAGCTAGAGCTCCAGGCATGTGCCACCACAACCAGCTAATGAAAAAAAATTTTTTTTGGCTGGGCACAGTGGCTGAGGCCTGTAATCCTAGCATTTTGGGAGGCCAAGGCTGGCGGATCCCGAGGTCAGGAGTTTGAGACCAGCCTGACCAACACCGTGAAACACTGTCTCTACTAAAAATACAAAAATTAGCCTGGTGTGGTGGCACATGCCTGTAACCCCAGCTAATCAGGAGGCTGCGGCAGGAGAATCGCTTGAACCCGGGAGGTGGAAGTTACTGTGAGCTAAGATCGCACCACTGCACTCCAGCCTGGGCAACAGAGCAAGACTCTGTGTCAAAAAAATAAAAAAAAAATATATATATATATGCGGGGTTTCATTATGTTGTCTAGGCTCCCACCTTTTTTTTTTTTTTTTTAATGTCAGTTGCTTTGTCTTTATATATATGTTATAGGCTGGGCGTGGTGACTCAACCTGTAATCCTGTAAACCTGTAACCTGTAATCCTGTAAACCTGTAATCCTAGCACTTTGGAAGTTGAAGCAAGAGGATCACTTGGGCCCAGGAGTTTGAGACCAGCCTGGGTAAGATAGATGAGACCCTGTCTCTACAAAAAAGTAAACATTAGCTAGGCCTGGTGGTATGCATATGTGATCCCAGCGACCTGAGAGGCTGAGATGGGAGGATCGCTTGGGCCCAGGAGATCAAGGGGCAGTGAGCCATGATGGCACCACTGCACTTCATCCTGGGTGACAGGGGAAAGAAATTTTTAGTATGAAAGAGTTATTGTTTCTATTAAAATTAAGTTGATTGGAAGGCCAAGGTGGGTGGATCATCTGAGATTGGGAGTTTGAGACCAGCCTGGCCAACATGGTGAAACCCATCTGTACCAAAAATATAAAAATTAGCTGGGCATGGTGGCCCATGCCTGTAATCATAGCTACTCAGGAGGCTGAGGCAGGAGAATCACTTGAACCTGGGAGGTGGAGATTGCAGTGAGCCGAGATCATACCACTGAACTCCATTCTGGGAGACAGAGGAAGATTTTGTCTCAAAAAAAAAAAAAAAACAAAACTTAAGTCGAACCATAGATGCTTGTTTTGCTGCTATCTTTTTTTTTTTTTTTTTTTTTGAGGTGGGGTCTAGCTCTGTTGGCCAGGCTGGAGTGTACTGGTGCGATCTCGGCTCACTGCAACCTTTGCCTTCTGGGTTCAAGTGATTCTCCTGCCTCAGCCTCCCGAGTAGCTGGGATTACAGGCATGTGTGGCCACACCCAGCTAATTTTTGTCTTTTTAGTACAGGTGGGGTTTCACCATGTTGGCCAGGATGGTCTCCATTTCCTCACCTCATGATCTACCCGCCTCTCATAGTGCTGGGATTACAGGCATGAGCCAGTGCACCCAACCTTTTGCTGCTATCTTTATAGTATTATATAACAAGTAAAAGTTTTGTAAAAACAATTCTAAAAAGGTAAAGAAAGCAAACTAAAACTAAATTGAATGCTTCGGAATGACAAAGGAGGTGAGTTTGCAAACAGAAAAGCTGCCAAATAGTTGTGAATGAGACAACTGTAAAAAATTGAGGAAATTTTGTAAAAAACACTGGCAGTTTGCTGCTTGTGAATTGCTTGTCAAGAAAAGTGAATGTTTCAAGAAAGTAATGTTGGAGCTGCTGAGAGGTCAAGTTGAATGAGACTGAGAAGTGTCCATTGGATTAATGATACAGTGATTATTAATGATTTTAGCTTCACTGATGAGTTGGGGGACAATATGCTTGTTAGGATGATGCAGGGAAATTAAAATAATCAAGGACAGAAAACTCTTAAAAGTTTGACTATGAGAGGAAGGAGGAGAATATTAGTGGGAGGAGGAATATGGGGTGAAGGATAGTTATGTGTGAAGATGAGAATTATAAACATATTTAAATACTGCTTGGAAGGAGCCAATGGAAAGGAAACGGATAAACAATAACTCCGGTTTCTTAGGAGATGGGGGAATGGGGCTAGAACACAAGGGTAAGGTTTGTTGTTAGAGAGTGAATGAGAGGGTTTCAGAGACAGGGAGTGTTAGCTTTCTTGGCAAGAAGTTGAAGTACCTCCCATCTAATGATTTTGCTTTTGTTTTCAGAAATCAAAAGCAAAATTACCTGCAGGGAACCAGGGGATCAGATAATGTGTTGGAGGAGAGCATGTAAGAGCTGACTAGAGAGAAAGTGGGATTGCCAGTGCTCAGCAACTTAGGTTCACACGTGGAGGAGTTGGATGGTTGGACCTATCAGGGCTTGAGTTTTGCTAAGCATGTGGAACAAAAAGATAGAAAAGAATATCAACAAGTACCTGATTGAAATGAAGGAATCTAAACTAGATAGGATGTGGCTGACAGAGGGAGAAATTGGAGTGATCAAGGGATAGTGGCTTGATATAGCTGGAGAATAAATAATAGTGTTAGGGTTTGAGCAGTCTGGCTATAATGATGGGAGATCAGATAGTTGGATGTTTTAGTGATTTTGGAGGTTAAGAGGTTTGGGTGATGACAAGGTTCAGAGAGTGATAACAGTGAGTAGCTGCAGTTTAGCTGAATGTTCTGAGCATCAAAGTAACAAGGTTTTTACAAGATGGGAGTATGTGGAACTGCTGGTCTGCAAGTGGCATTGGAGAGGAATTGAAGAGACTGATCCCACTTTGAACCCTCAGGTAGGTGGGATGTGAGTGAATGAGCAGCCTCCACTTGAGAGCCTGGAAAGTAAGAAATTTCCTTTTCTGGAATTTTTTGCATCCAAGATTCTGAATATGATTTAGGTTTTACAAGTCAGATGTGCTCCTGGAGAACTCAAATTTGAATCTGATTTTAGAGAGGAGAAAGGCGGACCAGCAGGCATGTATTTGTTAGTGCAGATTTTGGCAGTGATAAGGTTCTGGATCGGGAGCCAGAGAAGCAGCTTTCCCATTTAGTTAGGTCTCTCTTTTTTTTTTGAGACGGAGTTTCGCTCTTATTTACCCAGGCTGGAGTGCAATGGCGCGATCTTGGCTCACCGCAACCTCCGCCTCCTGGGTTCAGGCAATTCTCCTGCCTCAGCCTCCTGAGTAGCTGGGATTACAGGCACACGCCACCATGCCCAGCTAATTTTTTGTATTTTTAGTAGAGGTGGGGTTTCACCATGTTGACCAGGATGGTCTCGATATCTTGACCTTGTGATCCACCCGCCTTGGCTTCCCAAAGTGCTGGGATTACAGGCGTGAGCCACCGCACCCGGCCTATTGTTTTTATTTTTAGATACAGGGTCTTGCTCTGTCGAGATGGAGTGCAGTGCCACAATCATAGCTTGCTGCAAATAAAAAAATAAAAAAATTAGCTGAGCATGGTGGCGCGTGCCTGTAATCCCAGCTACTCAGCAGGCTGAGGCAGGAGAATTGCCTGAACCCAGGAGGCGGAGGTTGTGGTGAGCCGAGATTGTGCCATTGCACTCCAGCCTGGGTAACAAGAGCGAAACTCCGTCTCAAAAAAAAAAAAATTTTTTTTTTTTTTTTTGTATAGACGAAGTCTTGCTGTATTGCTCAAACTGGTCTTGAACTACTGGTCTCAAGCGATCCTCCCACCTTGGCCTCCCAAAGTGCTGGGATTACAGGCCTGAGCCACTGTACCCAGCCCAGCATATGGTTCTTGAGCCAGCAGCTGTAAATAAGAGCAACTACCAGTTTGATCAGCACTTGTGTTCCTACCAACTGTTTTTCCCCCAACCCTCCCAGTGATCATTTATGCAAATGTTTTTGAGCTTGAATGTGTGTCAGAATCCCCTGAAGGGCTTGTTAAAACACAAGGTGCTGACCCCATCCAGGATTTCTGATTTGGTAGGTCTGAGGTAGGACTAGAAATTTGCATTTTAGCAAATTTGCAGGTGATAGTGATGCTGCTGTTTCTAGGGCCACACTTTGTGAACTACTGATATGAACTAGTTAATATCCTGTAATGAATTCCTTTCTGCTTGAACTGGTTGGAGAGGATTCTGTTTTATGCAACTGAACCAATATAGGGGGGAATATTTATTTTATTTATATCTTCTTTGTCCTTACCTACTTTGTCAATAATTAAAAGAAGTTATTGTTACAATGTCATGAACGTTTTGCTTTTTATCTTTTGATGCTATTATTTGATGTTTAAATGTTCATGACATTGATATCTTCTATATGATTTGAAGTTTTATTCATTATAAACTACTCCCTTTTGAGCTAGGCACAGTGGCTCACACCTGTAATCCCAGCACTTTGGGAGGCCAAGGCAGGCAGATCATTTGAGGTCAGGAGTTCAAGACCAGCCTGGTCAATGTAGCAAAACCTCATCTCTACTAAAAAATGCAAAAATTAACCATGCATCGTGGTACATGCTTATAATCCCAGCTACTTGGGGGCCTGAGGCAGGAGAATTGCTTAAACCCAGGAGGCGGAGGTTGCAGTGATCAGAGATCGTGCTACTGCACTCCAGTCTGGGCAACAGAGCAAGGCTCTATCTCAAAAAGAATAGTACTCCCTTAATTCCTATTTCATATTTTCCTCCTAAATTTGACTTTGCTATTGTCATCAAAACTCCTCCTTTATTTTTGCTAACATTTTGCCCTGTACATTTTAATTGATCTTTATATTTTCAGCTTTTTGTGTTATTTTGTTTTAGGCATCTCTTGAAAAGCATATAGTTTAAAATCAAGCCAAATCAGGCTGGGAGCAATGGCTCACACCTGTAATCCCAGTACTTTGGGAGGCCGAGGTGGGCAGATCACTTAAGGTCAGGAATTCGAGACTGGCCAGGCCAACATGGTGAAACCCCATCTCTACTAAAAATACAAAAATTAGCTGGGCGTGGTGGTGGGTGCCTGTAATCCTAGCTACTGGGGAGGCTGAGGTGGGAGAATCATTTGAACTTGAACCCGGGAAGTGGAGGTTGCAGTGAGTGGAGATCAGGCTACTGCACTCCAGCCTGGGTGACAAGAGCAAGATTCCGTCTCAAAAAGAGAGAAAAGAAAAAAGAAAATCAAACCAAATCTTTATTCTTTTTTTTTTGAGATGAAGTCTCACTCTGTCACCCAGGCTGGAGTGCTATGGGGCAGTCTCTGCTCACTGCAACTTTCACCTCCTGGGCTCAAGCGAGTCTCCTGCCTCAGCCTCCCAAGTAGCTGGGATTACAGGCGCCTGCCACGCTTGGCTAATTTTTGTATTTTTAGTAGAGATGGGGTTTTACCATATTGGCCAGGCTGGTCTCGAACTGCTGACCTCAGGTGATCCGCCCATCTCAGCCTCCCAAAGTGCTGGGATTACGTGTGTGAGCCACCGAACCCAGCCTCTTTTTTATTTTGAGACAGTGTCTCGCTCTGCCTAGGCTGGGATACAGTGGTGTCATCTCGGCTCCACCTCCCAAACTCAAGTGATTCTCATGCCTCAGTCTCCCAAGTAGCTGGGATCACAGGCGTGTACTACCATGTCCAGCTAATTTTTGTATTTTTAGTAGAGACGGGGTTTGCTCTGTTGGCCAGGCCGGTTTCAAACTCCTGGCCTCAAGCGATCTGCCTGCCTTGGCCTCCCAAAGTGCTGGGAATA